AGTGTCCTCATGTAACTGACACACAAACAGCATCTCAGATATTTTTTAAATGCAAATGCAGACTCAGGATATTTTATATTTATTATATTGCTTACTTTCTTTCTGTCTTTCAGCCCCTGGAGGATTGTGGACGACTGTGGTGGAGCTTTCACCATGGGAGCCATTGGAGGAGGAATATTTCAGGCAGTGAAAGGTTTCAGAAATGCACCTTCGGTAAGTTACCAGGCCACAGTGTGTTTCAGACTTCTTCTTAATCACACACTTTCAAAAAGCCAGCGCTGGCATCAAGCACACTGGCCTTGTGGCTCTGAGGCTTGCTCAAGGATACTGTGATTTATGAATGGGGCGTTGGTCTGTGTTTATTTGAGTTGAAACACGGTCATTTCCACTTGTAAAGATTTGTTTTTTTCCATCTTTTAGTTTTTACCAATAAGAGCTGAGTATTGATTTCCACTAATCAGTGTTATTGTTGCTCTTGTTTGCAGGGGATGAGCCACAGAATGAGGGGAAGCTTAACTTCCATCAAGACGAGAGCTCCACAGCTAGGAGGTAAGAATAAATACCCAAAAACAAGTTGCTCTTTTATAAACATTGTCTGCAATCTAGTTTCCTTTTGATCACTAACACATTCACAGCTCAGCTTTTCTTAACTGACGTCATTTTCCTGTTATCTAAACTACTTTAAGGTTTTGCTATTTGTTGCAATCAGTTGCAGTCATGTAAACAGTCAGTCAATGCCTTCAGTTTTCTCTCTATTCTTTTGTGCGTCTGTGTTTTTCAGGTAGCTTTGCAGTGTGGGGAGGCCTCTTCTCCATGATTGACTGTGGTTTAGTAAAAGTGCGAGGCAAAGAGGATCCCTGGAATTCAATAACAAGTGGGGCCATGACAGGTGCGATCCTCGCTGCCAGAAGTGAGTACATTAAGCGGAGATTTTAAAAAATGTCAGATTTTTTTATTTTGCTATTTATTTTATATCCAATTATAAAATTATTCTTGTATTAAAGCTGCTTCTTGTGTCCACAGATGGACCAGTAGCCATGGTGGGCTCAGCAGCGATGGGCGGTATTCTGCTGGCTTTGATAGAAGGTGCTGGGATCTTGCTTACAAGGTTTGCTTCTGCACAGTTCCCAACTGGTGAGTAAAACGTTCAGAGTGCTTTTTTCATTAAACTCTCCAACATTGTTTAACATTGTGTGTAAAATCAAGTTTTAAATGTAAAAATATCTGAGTATAAGCATCTGTATTCTAACTAAAATGCCCTTCTGGAAGATTATTTTGATGTGAACTTTAGAATCACTTCAGCTTGCTTGAGCTAAATATGAAGGATGGAAAAAATGTTGGCTGTAAACCAGCTTTACTGCTGGTTACTCATCACCTGACATGTATGTTTACTTTACTGTAACAGAGTTAGTAACCTCCCTTCCTGCTGATATTGTTCAAACAAAACAGTCTCTCGTCTCCAGGCAAATGGACACAGATGTTATTAACAACAGGTTTATTATTAGAATTATGTTCAGTGTTCTAATTTAATCCAGGGAAATAAAATGCCGGCCAACCAAATATTTGATTTATTTGATGGGGGTTAAAACATTGATAACACTGTAGGAGTTGATAAACCCTCCAAAAATTAAGGTTAAATTATTATTAGCAATAATAAGAGGTTATGACAGTATTAGAAATTGGAGGGGAGACAAAACATGAGTTAAACTCTTTGACAAATTTTCACTAAGAACATTTTAAAAAGGTCTGGGTTATTGTTGATAGTGATAGATACGATCACCATGTGTTTAAAAATAACATTTTCTTTCTAAATAAAAAATCGGTGAGTATCATTTTGCAGTAATGATATACACATATATTTTAAATAACAGCGATTTTGACATTTTGAAAATGAGAAATTAAATGTACTTTATTTAGAATTTGAAAAAGAAATGCCTAAAGATATTCAATTTAGGCTAAAATAGGTTAATTCCTTTTTCTTTTTTTTAATTTCCAATATCCAGAGTACAGAGTGAAACAATCATGCGATAGTGACTCGATGAACGGTTTTGACATGCAATGTGCTCAAACGTCTGATTAGATGTTTGTTGTTTCAAACTTCCCACCGGCTCCCACATTGCTCTCACATTTATGTTTGTTTTTCCTCCTCAGGACCCCAGTTTGCCGAGGAACCTTCCCCCGCTCCCATTCCCACCTCTCCCTTCGGGGACTATAGACAATATCAGTGAGAGGGCTGCACTCCCCTCTTTTATCCACTAGATCTTTTTAAATTCCTTGCTGAAGAGATGAAGGTGGAGACTATCATCTTGTTTTTCTGTTAAAAACTACACCCGCTGTCATGACCTCATGATCTGTTACGGGGGGAGCGAAGGACGGAACTCATCATCATTTTTCTTCTTTTATGAGATGTACAGATCTGCCTTTTGCCATTCTCAGCCTTTTCGCGTGCATCTGTGTTGCTCGGAACAGCGTTGGGGTGAAAGTTGTTTATTTGGGACGATGAGATGCACTTTCTGCTTTGGTGTGACGTACATATCCTTACAGACGAGCTGTGATGGTGTTGAATCTCAGAAAAAACACATCACGCATGAAACGTAAAAGAAGTTTGGCTTGTATTAATTTATGTCAGTTTTTTTTTTTCATTTTTTATTTTTATTTTGTCACACGCTTGAGTTGGCCGGCAAATCTGTGCTGGCCTTCCTCTTTTATTCAGTAAAATAGGGAAACTTCTTTCAGAAACAGATCCATTCCTGAAATAGTTTGTTTTTGGGTGAATTATTTATTTTTAGATTGTAAAGAGTTGTATCAAATTGTTCTGTTTTCTGTGATAGTAATTTTTCCATTCAACACAGTGTGAAAAATACTACTAAGGCTAAAGAATGGCACCGGCAGTTCATTTCAAGAGAGCAACTGAAGCAAGGGATTGATGTGTGATGTATTAAATCTGTATAACAGATTGTACTATGGTACAATAAAGATATTAATTGTTAAATGTTTGCTGTACCATTCAGTTTTGGGTCAAGATTCAGTTGTAACATTTTAATAGTTTGGCCTGCTGCCTAAGCAGGTTTCAGTTTATCCACTAGAGGGAACTCTTCCTGAAAGCGCCAAGACCAAAATCTCTCTTTTTTTCCCCAACTGGGCAGCTTTCTCGTTAAAGTTGTACAAGTGACACATGAGGGAGCACTTTACCGACATTTTTATGACGATTCAGACACTAACCATTATTAAACTTGGTTAGTGTCTGAATCATCAAAAACAAAAATACCTTGTTGTGAATTTGTTGTGCAAATTTTTACTTGTAGAAGATAAAGTTCTGTCATAAGATAAACTAGCTCATGATTAAAGGGAGCACGTCCATTAAGCAATGAAAACCACAATGTGTTTGATGGTATTTAAAAACATATCCAGAATCAAGAAATTTTGAATCAAAATATCTTCTAAATTATTTTTTGCAATATAAATGGACATTAATTTTGCCCAATAACAGCATAGTGAAGAGTACAAGTACAGTGCCAAGCAAAAATACAAATATAGTTTGAACTTCTTGATATTTTGTCTCTTTAAATCCATTAATTGTGATGTATCGTCAATGATAGACCAACATAAACTGCGTGTTACAGTGAAGTGGAAGCACAATTATACACTAAAGTGAGCATGACACACTTCCCAGAATATTATTTATAAAAACTGTGAAAAAAATGTGTCATTTGCCCTTCTTTTTATAATTGTGTGTGTTGGTTTATCAGGGGAAAAAAAATCACAGAAATCTACATTGAGGTTTGTGGTTATAATTTGAGAAAATGTAAGCAGTTTTAGGGCTATAAATATTTTCAAAACACACTTTCTGCTTAGAAAAAGTAAATGTTTACCGAAAAGAGAAGACCTGAGACTGCTGATACTTGCTGTATTTCAACTGGATAACCTAACATCGGTTCACACTAGTTCTGGAAAATGTTTAATGGTATTTCCCACAACTAAAAATAAACCAAATAATGTGATGTAAATGTAAATATATTTTAAGGACATAGCTTCTGCAAAAAAAAAAAAAAAAAAAAAATCCTACTTAGCTAAAAGTGCATATCCATAACAGAGGATTTGGCTTCATTAAATGTAATAACATTTTACCATTGGATTTTTTTTTTAGACTTTATTCTTTTTTGTTTGTTTGTTTTCATTGATTGAAACCTCAGCGAGTTTAAACAATTTTTTACGCAGATCCCTTCCGAAACCAGTTTGGTGTATATTTCGGGCCATTGTCCAGTGGGAACACCCAATAGGGTTAAAATTTCTATCTGCTTTGGATAATTCACCAGTATCACTGTCAGAGAAACATAGCTTCATCATGATCCTGCCACCACGATGCAATTGGCATATATATATTTTTTATTTGCTTGGCGGTTTTTTAAAACATTAAATTCAGTTCTCAGCAGATTCTATAGAGATTAGCTACACAAAACATGAAGGTTTGTCTTACATAACTCTGTCTGCTTTATACCCCTTAGCATGACACTGCCACCCATGTGTTAGACAGTTGGAGTTCCATGTTTTTTTCATGCTTACTAGAGTTGTTCACAAATATTATTCAGACCACACTACACATACCTGACTAGTTAATTATTAGGTAGGTAATAATAATAATAATAATAATAATAATAATAATAATAATAAAGTAAATAATCCTATCTTGTTTTCTAAACAGGGCTGATCTGTGCACACTAAACAAAAGTAAAAGAGAGGTCATGCACATTTAACGTGTTCACATGTTGCTGAAAATGACTGAGTTACTGTGTGTTTTCGTGTCGGCACATGTGTCATGCCCTTTTAAGAAAAAGGAGAAACGGTCCGGGTGACGTCCGCTGCCTGAGCTCTCAGACGCCGCCGCCGCTGGAGGAGAACTCACGAACTGACACTTGCGGAGCGGCGAGAGACAGCGAGCCAGAGACGGTGAGTTGCGCTGCCAAACTTTACTACGTGGTCAAATAAGCGGTCAAATAAGTCGCGACGGAGAGCGCGGCGAGGACGCTTGCAGGAGCGGACGCGTTAAAGCGAAGTGGGCTGCGCGTGTTTCATTTTGTCGAGGGCTAAGAGAGAAGAATTGTCTTCAAGTAAAAACCGGAGTGAGCACTCCCCATTTTAGTCAAGGCCAAGCGGAAGGACAGGTAACGTTAGCTATCGGTTTATGTCATTTTCTGGGGAAATGTAGAGCATTTCGGTTTGATTAACAACCTGCTATGTTTGGTTGGCGTTTGAATTATTAAACGAGCTCGGGCGCCGGACATTTCTGACAGGCTTGGCTGTGTTTTGGTAACACTCAGAGGAAAGGAATGTGTCGGCTGGTTAGCTCGGCTGCTAACGAGCCGCAGCTAACGGTGTGAGCAGCAGCCAGTTAAGCTGGCTAGTTAGCGGCATTTCGCTAACAAGCTTCATAACGGGACTTAGGCTGATTGCTTGCCTCAATCTAGATTGCCCGTAAACAGATGTTGTCCTTAATTACCTAGATTGAAGATTTTAGTGTTGGGTAGGATTTAGCTGTAAGCAGGCTTACGAGTTAAACAGAATTTGATTAATTTTATGGTTACAACAATAGACCGATTGGTGTTTTTTCGGCGGCCAATGTCGCCGAGCTTGAGGGATTTACAAAGCATATTTGTTTGATGTCAGCCAACATCTAATTGACTAGCATCACTGGTATAAAGGCATAAAAAATACTTTCACAATGGTACCTGTATCACGTAGATTTCCCAAAATATAATGAAGTTATAAAGCAAATATACCAATTTGGACACTCAAAATTAAATTGATAGAAATCTAGTTTTTTCTTTGCTGTAGAAAAGCAAACTTAAGCAGCTTTTCAGATGAATCTAATCTGTAAGTGGTGAAATTATTCTTTGATTGAATTCCATAAGGCGGGTCTGATCTGCAGAATCAGCAAATTGGATGCTGTGGATACCCAAAATAATACGACTTTTACACTTTTTCCTTTAAAAGAAACATATTCTGCTTCATTTCTTAATATGAAAGGTTATTACAGTTAAGAATTATGGTCTTACTGTTTCACAGGTTTCTTTAAAGGTTTGCATAATATTAGGGTTAACTTCCTTTTTGGTAGATCAAAGCCCCCCAGCAGGCAAAACAACATTTAGCTGTCCACAGATGTGCCTGGCTTTTAATTTGTTCACTGTGCTCAAGTGAGGTGGTGACTAATTATTGTTTTAAAAAGAGACACAAATCTTCCTAATGATAATAACCTAATAGAAAGGAACCAGATGGGATCTGCAGTCTCTTTTTCAAGACAAACCTGGCATGAGAGCAGCACCGTAAGTTGGCTCTAGTGATGTTGGTCCACCTCTACTAATCATGTGTTGTCGTTGTGTTGGCTGCCGCTCTGTGGTGTTGTCAGAGCCACAGATTGCAGGGATTTAGCATGACCTGGAGTGATAAGCATATGCCGCAGCCGTAAGCAAATTAGGTAGAGTCACAGTGAGATGACTCGAGCGCTGCAGCAGCTTTCTCTTGTCCGACCCCATGGTTTGTGTCAGCCTGTTGCTAGGCTGTCTTAGCAGCGGCGACAGTAATGTGAAACAGGAAAGGTGTGCACGTTACTGTGAAATTGTAAGCACACAGGCATGTCAGCTGTATCGCATAATAGCCTGTAAAGCAGATCTCTCTGAGAAGCAGCCTGTTGGGCTGGAGTTGAAACAAGATCCAAGATGACTTTGGTGTAAAACGTTTGTGAGAGAAAGTGTAAACTTTCTGATTCAAAATCTTAATTTCGCTACATTCTGTATCTCATATCTTCTACACTAAAGTATATATCATCTATCTCCCTTCTTGAACCTGCCGTCTTGGTCTTGCACAGGAACAGTGACTGGGAGTTATTTTAGCTGATAGCTACTCCTTTTCCATCCTTTCAACATGAAACTTCTTGTGCTTTGGAAAGAGGATGTGGTTACAGGTCAGTGCCCCAGACACTGAGATGCATTCAGTTGACGGTTACAAGCCTTTGTCATAATCAAGCCACAGCAAAGTTCTCTGGTGACTAGGTGCTGTTTTGCTCTGAGTCATTTTTACATAGTGATTCTGAAGGAAAAACACAAGCTGCTTTATCACAATATTTTAAATGCATGTACAGAATGAGTAATTTAGTCCTTTAGTTTTAGGGGGAGATCAGAAACGCATTGTTGGTCAGACGCTTGTGTTTCCTGAATTTGGATGTTCTACGTACAAAGATAATCTACCTGAATTTGCCGCTATTTTGAAAGCACAGCATTTATTCTTTCAGAGCTGCTTTACCTCTGGTGTTAATGGTGTATTTTATTGGCTTGTAAATTCTCTTTCCTGGGGATTTTTATAAGAAAGAACAATGCAAGCAATTAGAGTAAATTAGACACGGAGTTGAGTTAATTTGCTTTATTTCCAATTAAAAGGCTCAGTTAGTTATGGACTAACTAGTATAATGTATAGCCCTATATTCTATAGAGCTGAATAGTATTAGAAAATATTGCTGTGGTGATTGTATTGGTAAATATTGCGACGACATGAGGTGAGATATTCCTATTTTCACCCTTCCTCTTTTTCTCCTGTGCTTCCATCATTCTGCGACCTTTAGCATTTTGGGAAATGTCGTTTGTGTCCGGTTTCGGCATCTGTTGCTGTGGGACTTCATCCAACTGACTAAATATATCTTTGTCATGCAAAATGCAAGTTCACAACACTTGAATATTGGCCAACAGTTTTTTTTTCACTTCACTGTCTTTTGTGATATAAATACTGCACACACTCACATTGTACTAATGATATTTCCTCAATCTATATTGTACAACCCACCAAGGATGGTGGGTTGTACTTTGAGCACTTGTAGAGATGTAGAGATTTCATTCTTCTTCTCACTGTTATTTTCACCAATTCCCATATTTCTTCCAAGTATTATAGTGCAAAAAACTGAGAAAAATGTGTTAATCAGAGTAGATCCATAGGAAAAAAAGACTAATATTTTAAAGTGATGTTTGAAATAACACTACATTCTTAGATTGCTGAAAATTTATGTCAGTGTTCTGACGGCTTAATCATAATTCAGTAATTGATCGTTTTTGTTCTGTTTAATCCAATTAATTTAGTGTTTTTAGCTCTGTTTGAACCAGCGTTGTGAACTGTGGTCTTTGTGGTAGTAGCAAGTAACTACGCTCTTCTCTACAGCTGCAGCTACTAAGTCAACCCTGAAAATACTTTTTTTCTCATGCCCCTATGCCCTTGTTGTGGCATGTGGGTTACCAGGTTAGCATTTTCACACAGGAGTTGTCTGCAGCGGATGCCTGCATTTCCACCATCAGCTCTGTGGAGGAGATGCAGAAGACAGCTGCCACTCATCCCATCCTGCTGAGTCAGTCGCACTGACAGCTTCCTTGCGGTCTGATGGGCCTCAGCGCACCCGGAAATAGCTGTTCCTGAATGTTAAGAGTTAAGCCGCGGAGTCTCCTCCTGAATGTTGTCGAGACTCCTGCTACCAGCGCCACCTAATCCAGTTTCAAACCCTAGATGGACACATACCTTTAGCTCCAGCCGGGTGAGTTGATGCAGTGACGTCTCGGTGGAGAGCATTTTCTATGACACGCGGCTTTCCCTCGCTCCTTATTTGCTGGGGTTACTACTAGAGCGGAGGAACGGCTCTACTGTGTTTGTTTTGTTGGAGATGACAGTGTGTCATTGAGGTTACTGAAGAGAGAGATTTGGTTTGAAAGGCTGTTGTCCTTAAATGGCTCCGTGTTTGTTTGTGTGTGGTGAGACCGTCTGAGCAGGCAGATGAAAGAGTTGAGCGTTTTGTGTGACGGTTTTCCTGGTATGAATGTTTTTATGCAGATGAAGCTTCAGAAGAAGAGCTCTCCACTGGCTTTGTTTCTCTGTGTTGAAGGACAGATTTAACTTAGGTGGTCTCTACAGAAAAGCCAGATGAATATGAAGTTGAGTTAAGGTATCGCATCACAGTTCAAGCTCAGCTACTTGAACGTTTTTCCTACTTCATGATCTTTTCCTCTCAGATTAATTTCACTTCCTAAGCTGCATAATCATGTTCAGATCAAAAGTCGAGATGTATCCTTGGTTTCTCTCTAAACTGTCTTAACACAAAGACACAGAGAGAGTAGTAACAAGAAGAAGTGGCTTTTGAATCTGACACCTGGGTTACAATTTTTTTTTTTTTTTTTTTTGTTGTTGTATTTTTTGCTGGAGTAAGCATAAAATGATGTATAAGGAATGGTCACATCAATATCAGTTCTTTCAAAAATATTGACTTAACATTTAAAAGGGAGCTCTTTACTCTACAAACCAGAGTAAAGAGCAACTTCAGACTGTGAGATTTATGTTCATAGAGATTAATCTGCTTGACCCGAGGTTACTCACCGTTATCTAAAACAAATATTGAGTGACATTTTTACATTGGGAATCATTTCAGTTTGAGTCAAGATCAAAAGTAATCCCAAGACTGAAATAAAATGGAATAGACAGGAGTCAAATTACCTCTCTATGTTAGAAGAACATGCAATAATCAGGAGTTGGTGGTCAGTTTTCAGTTTTTGTGAAGCTCTGACTTACCAATATATTTTTTAGCCCATTTTGTTTATCTTTTAATATAATTAACAGCATTCAAAATATTTATTTTTAGCCTCGCTGCCATGAGGTTGTTAAATATTTATATAGGGAGTGGACAAAGTACCAATCAGGCTTTTATAACCTTTTTATGGTCAATACTGATTTGAGGTTTTACCTGAGGTCTGATTTTTGGCTGATTTTTGATTGGAAATAGAAAAAATATTTTTTTCATCATCACTTAAACATTTGTGTGATTATGCTGAATTTGAGTCATTTCATCAAAGGTTATGTATGCTCTTGGATAATGTATTCATAGACCAAAAATGGAAAAAGAACTCCTTATTTTGATAAATTTATAGAACAGGAAATTAAGATTTTATCTGCATTTGACCTCATCAGGCAAAATGTGATGATTGCGATCTCTGGCATGATGATTGGTGCATCTGTTGGTTCTCTACGTGTGTTGCATCCTGTGTATGATGGAGCAGATGTTAAAATAAGGGGTTTTACGAATAAACTCCCCTTTCCTCCCCCCACACAAATGTCTCAGTAGTAATATTTTATTTCAAACTGAATGGGTTTGCATGGTGTGCTTCTGTGCCAGATTATTAACCTGCCCCCCACTTAAGATGCAACCTTTTAAGGATGATGGATTTTAAACCGTTTCATTTAAAATTAGCATAGTTAGCTTTGCTAAGTCTTCTTGTGTCGTCCCAAAAAAATGTAGATGCCTATCTCAACTCTGAGATTCCTAAAGCACATGTGTCACGCCCTTTTAATCAACCAAATGATTTGCTGAAGCTGCTTTTTATATCCAGAAACGAAAGGCGGTGTAGCGAAATGACCTCTACCTGTTAAAGTCTCGCTCTCTATTGTCACAGCCTGAATTAGTAGAAAATACAGTCTCCTTTTAAATAGATTCTCACATCTCAGAAATATAGTCCTGTGGTGTCGAGCACCACGTACGACCGATCGCTCAGGCCAAATAGTTTTTTCCATTTAAGCACATTCACAGTTTGCAAACCAAGTCCATGCAAACATTAGACTTCTCTTTAGTTTCAATGTCAAGGATATTTAAATAAAATAACATGTGGAGTTTAGGTGCACTCCTGTGGGGAGCAGGCATCCTCCGTGACAGCCTCTGACGTTGTCGCATTATAATCCGTCACCAAGGAGACCCCTGACATCATCTGTCTTAACAAGGGTCAGTCTGCAGCCTTAAAACAAGAACCGTGACATGCAGATAACTGACAAGTGAATCATAGCCTAAATCTCAGAGTGACATTGCCTTTATGACATTTGTAAATGTGACGCTGTGCACACATTTGACTCTGAGCGGGAGAGTTTACTTCAAAGAGCAGCAGTGTGTGCGTCTGCTCTGTTTCTCCGTCCAGCCGCTCCTCCTTCGTCGTTCGAGGAGAACTTCTCTTTATGCGTTGAGGATTAGGGAATATGAATTATTCACAGTTCCAGCTTCATGTCCCACATGGTCACTGCTTGTGATTGAAGATGGAGGTCCTTAGTCGTTTTTGCCCCCCGCTGGGAATTCAGATGGAGTTTGCTGCAGTAGGAACGGTGTAGGAGGGGATGATCTTTGCTCCAGAACGGGTTATGATTAGCTTTTGATGCAAAAAGGCGTTGATTATAAACTGTTGAAACGTGGCTGTTTTTGAAGCTGGATTTTTAACACAAGCTACTTTCTGATTTTCATAGCAGGTTTTAATGCAGATGACCCAACCGGGTTTGCTTTAAGAACTGAGGTTTGTCTCCACATGAGATAACAGTTCTGGATTTTCAGTACTGTCCTTCTTATCTGTAACGAGAGAGTTTTTCCTTGGTATCTTATTGAATATTCAGCTAATACATTGTTTTAAATGGCTAGATTCTTGTTGAGTCTTAAAGTTTGGGAAGATATGGAATTTGAGTTCATTGTTTTCAAAGTTCAGGCAACGGAAAGTAAATATTAGAATGGGAAATATGTTTTCTCTATTTTCTTATGATCTCAAATAATGTGTTTGAAATGAAGGGCAGTTTATATTGGTTTATATTTGGATGATGACTTTTGTCTTTTAGCGACGGCATTGAAGCTTGTGTGACTTATTGACCAGAGATAAATGCACATTCGTAAAAGCTATCTGTTTTTGGTCTCAAGGCCCTATTGGATCAGGGTTTTAAACTGGTCCTAGGATTTTTAATCTCAATGATTTGTATAAAAAAATAGCAAAAACATGTCTTTTTAGCAGTAAACAAAAACTATAAAGTGTTGATTATATAATCCATTGTATATTCCAATTCAATTATGTCCCCAATAATTATGCATTTAGAACAAAGATGGTCTAAATTTGTACAATAAAACACTGAGAATGTCTAGTGTTGTGAAAGAGGAAAAACCACCAAGTGCAGTCTGCAACTGATAATTTGATGAAGAAAAAAGGAAAAAGTTGTCCAAACCCGTGACGGCATATGAAAAATTACATGCTCACTCTGCTATGAGCCAGTGACATCACGCAAGAACTTATCTCTTTAATTTTGATCTACATACATTCAAGAATAGATGAAACAAAGTCAGGTTTGTGTCATGTTAAGTCCTGCTTAAAGTTAACACAGTGGTTAAATAAAGTACTACACCTATAGTCAAACATGATGGTAGTGTGATGGATGGGGCTGCCCTTCTGGTCCAGGACCTGGGCGACTTGCCTTAATGGTTCAAACCATTCATTCACTTCCTTACAGGAGAATGAGAATGTCATGTCAGCAAATCCGCATCTTAATGGCTCAAAAAACCCAGAATATAAGTCTAGTCAAAGGTTAGACTTAAGTCTGACCATTAAACAGACCGTTCTTGCTTGAAAACCCTGCTGTTTGGCCAAATCAAAACATCTTCTCAAACGGTGCTCTAAAACTCTTCCACAGCATTGTGTCACAAAGACTGCTTAGGATAGCTGTTTCAATATAAAATAAAATAAGTAAAAAACAGTTTTGAAAACTGCATTTTCTAGTTTTACTCATGTTTGTCTGATTTATTAAAAACGGTCTTAATTGAAATGTGACAAAAAAGCAATAAGAAAAAATCTTTAAAGGAGCAAATACTTTTTCACAATGCAGTATAGTGTATCCCCAACAATTTTAGATTTTTGTAATAATTCAAAATTTAACATTTTGTAAAAGATTATGTGTTGGAACTATACTTTATACTACTATATTTTTCTTTTCTTTTTTTTTAATCTACAGCCACAGCAGAGATGAGGAATCAGAAATCCCGGCTTCGCCCAGTTACTGAACTAGAGCTCAGCCTCTCTGTAACCAGACTTGTGCTGACCTAGTTGGCTGTTTCTCACTCTGCTGTGAGCCAGTGACATCAAGCCAGTCCGTCCCTTACAGGGGTATTTTGGTGATTTCACAATTTCCTCCAATCTTAGATTCCACTTCCCTCAGCTGGTTTCTTTCAACGCACACGGGAGACAGACGCCATATTATCCTGTCACCCCAGAAATGTGTAGACGACTAACATTTCTGACAGCAGGGTGTGTTTCAGTATGTGAGCTCCAGATGATTGTGTCATTTAGAGGAATATCTGCCTGATCTGTGCGTGTCATCTCCTCCAAGGAACCCTACCCCCCACCCACTTTAACTCATATTCACCACACCTGGTTTGTGTTAGGGAAGGATCACATAGTCTTCACCTCCTCCACCCCGATGCAGCTCCACTTTTGGGTGTTCCCTCCATTGTTTTGTTTCTTTTTGTCCATAACTTCCAGGAATGACTAGAATCTCTGCTCTCGGGAATAGAAAAACTCACAGAACAGATCTTTTATGTTGTGTCTGTATAAACCTTCTTCCTTTGTTTAGTTCTCTCCAGATTTAACATTTTCTTCTTTTTTTGTGTCCCATTTTTGCTTCTCATCTGCAGACTGTTGGGCTCACCAGTGAAGCAATCCCGCCATGCGTGAATACAAGCTAGTGGTTTTAGGCTCTGGAGGTGTGGGCAAGTCCGCTTTGGTAAGTGTGTCCTCCTGGTCTCCTTCCTGTCTATGCAGCCTCGAACTCCCCTGCAGGGTGCTTCCTTAAAGACTTGCTAATAAAACAGCAAGATATTTTGACTCGCTTTTAAAAGAGTGTAGTGGAGATCCTGTATGGCTAGAAGGAAAATTACATTTAGCTTTTCTTTCTTGCTTTCTGACTTTATTTGCATACATTTAAGTGTCTTCTTGGTTGAAATAAAACAGCTAGGCTAGCCTTAACTTTATTTGGATCTACATAATATCAACTGAACACATTTTCCCTCCACTCAGGCGTTTCTTTGAGAACATCCATGTCTGTAAAATGGCGTGTGCCCTGCTTAGCTAGTTTTAACCAGGTGTCAGTCGGGTTAATCCTCTGAACTGCCTGGATTAGGATGCTAACAGGTGAACCTGGTCAACCCGAGGATGTCAACCTTCCTCAAGGGATCAGGTTTAGTCTTTATATATACATGTTGGTATAGCTAACACACCTCTAATTTGATAGTTTCTCTGAAAATATCATGATTCGAACAACCCCCACATTCAAGAGCTCCTTCCAGCCATCCTATGGAGTTGTGATAACGTTGCGCACTGATTTGACTTTGTTTTTGTGTGTCATCTCTTACAGACAGTTCAGTTTGTACAGGGAATCTTTGTGGAAAAATATGACCCTACAATAGAAGACTCGTACAGAAAGGTGAGTCTCCTGAGGAGCTTCGGTTGGGCTGATTGTTTGCAGCTGTTCTGCAGGTTCACATCACCATGATGTGATGCTTCCTCTGTTTTTTTGTTGGCGTTTAGTGCATACATGTTTTCAGCCCCCTTTGAGTTGATGAACTGTATGCATGTTTAAACAGTGAATGCACTAAGTGACCCCAAATGAAGCTTACAGTGTTGCTATGTTTTCTGTTACCACAGCAAGTGGAGGTAGACGGGCAGCAATGTATGCTTGAAATTCTCGACACAGCCGGCACAGTAAGTTGACTTCCTTCCAATCAACAACCATCTCTGCTTTAAGTGCTGAATCAATTTATTGAGCATGTCACTGAAAGTTATTAGGAAGATAAATTTGTCGGGAACTTTAATTTGAAAGGAAGGTTTTACTAGACTGTGTGGATATGTAAAAAAAATGCTAGACCAGAGAAAATTATGTGAGATATTTTAATGAAGGTCTAGAATACAAATGGTTGTTGGACTGTTTTAGGCAAACAACCCTCAACTTCTAATAGTCCAATAAATCTTATGGATGGTGTGTACAGATACCGGACTGTTCTGAAGATGAACATCTGGCTGCGTGGTTTCTGTTTTGAAGCCTATATTTACTCAACAAGAACCAAGAAATTGTTCTCTCTTTTAGATCTCCTCTGGTTTGGGAGTTCTTACATTTTGCTCTTGATGCTTAATCTTGACTGAAATGTTATTGTATGTGAAAGGTTAGATATTAAAATGGCAGTAGTTAATGTGGAATAGCAGAAAAGTTTCTACAAATTCTTTTGACCATTGAAAACTGAGAACTTTAAAATTGCATATTCTTTAATCTGACAAATGGTCCATAAACCAGAGATTTCATTTATTACAAAACTTTTAAACTAGGCACATCTGTTCAATTAAGAAATGTTATTTAGTTTAGTTTTTTTCTGTTTTTAAATGTGCATAAAATGGAACTGGCAGAGAATTACATTTTGTGTAAAGGTCCAGAGCAGGTCATTCAAATCTGACTTTGTTCTTGTCAGGAAAATGTTAACACATGTGAACTATATTTCGAGTGACTCCTGATAATTTTTTTGTTTTTGAGCTCATGGCCTTTCTTCCTTTGCTTTTATACAGGAACAGTTCACAGCAATGAGGGACTTGTACATGAAAAACGGCCAAGGCTTCGCTCTGGTATACTCCATCACAGCACAGTCTACCTTCAATGACCTCCAAGACCTGAGAGAACAAATTCTACGAGTAAAGGACACAGAGGATGTGAGTTTATCGCAAACTTGCACTGATTCTTACATGAACTCTCCCAGTTTCTCTAATATTACATCTCAAGTGTACCAGGTCCCCAGGGTCGGCTGCACAGACTGTTCTATTTATAGTTGGATGACTTGGACAGTGTTTAACAAAGAGCAAAAATGCTGATGGTCACTAAAGGAAAAGTCCTGAAAAAGTTTATTTCTGTCTCCCATAGCAATTCTTCCTCCTCACGTTGACACATAGTGTGTGCTCATTTGCTTTTAAGTCTGCCCCATAGCTTGGGTGTGTAACCGAGAGGAGAAAAAAAACAAAAAAAACAAAGATGTGTCATGTCATTATTTTCCAAATTTTTTATTTGTCAGCAGAACATTTCCATCTCTCAGTATCTCTGGCAAATTTCGAGGCGGTTGCAGTGAGTAAGCCCTCCGTCCCCTTTCTGGTGGAACAGATAATGCGTCAGCAGGATCTAAGATGCCCTTTTTTGGCGATCTCTGGAGGGAACGAATGTTACCATAACCCTCTTTCTTGCTCTCTCCCCCTTCTCTCTATCCGTCTCCCTTGAGCCATCTATAGCCCAAGCTTTGCACCTTTTGTTGCTCCTTTCTCCTCTACATCTCTGCCAGTTTTCTTTGTGTTTTCACATTTAATTTTAATTTTCTACATTCTCCCTTTAGCCTATTACTTGGTATTCTCCCTCCCCCTTTTTCCTGTGGTCATACTGTGGTTTGGCACTCTGGGTGATTGAATTGTTAGAGATGATGTGCAGAGAAAGCCCCATCTCATCAGAATCACACAGGATTGTGAGGCTGTGGTGCTTCATTAGTAGTTTGTGGTTTTGGAAAGAAGGCTAGCCTCGGGCTAACAGATGGATCGCAGGATTGGTGGCTCCTCAACTTGCAGGATACCAGTTCTACATCTTATTTCTAGTAATATAAACTCCTCCAGTTTCAGACTTATCTGAGTGTTTTGGCCACTCATATCAAAGGTGATTTAAGCATTTACCTATGACAGCTGTGACATCTGTTTATCACCAGTCAGGAATGCATGACCAAAGGAAATGTTCAGCATATTTTCTTGTAATCGCCCCCAAAAAGTGAGGATTTTTCTCATTTGGACAAAGCTTCTACTCTGTTGCAGAGTGAAGGCAAAGTATGTGGTTGCTGCAGCAGCTGTTCTTATTTTCAGCTCCGCCACGCACCATTTACTTCAAAGATGGCAAAAATGTACACATACGTTTATTGCCAAGCTCAAGTAGGAGCTTTTTGCAAACGTGCCTTGAACAAAGCGAGGTCGCATTCCTCCTCCGTAGCAGAGCTAATTCAACAGAAGTGAAAAATGAAGTGAGCGGTCACCAGCGTGATAAAAGCTGGCTTCTTTCTACTTCCTTTCACAGCTGTTATGTAAGAGAGGTCTTATGACTTCTCCAGGTCATCTCCAGCTCTGCTTGTGTGACTGCTAACTCAATGCTTGTGACTCATTGCAGCCCAGTGTTTAGCATGCCGTTCTGTTAGACAGGACCTGTCTGTAGCATGTTGACAGCATCTGAACAGATTTTCTGTGGCTTTTGTGAATTCTTCAATTAGTCTAATGAGGGCTTCTGTTCTGCTGATGCTAAACATTTTCTGTCCCCTTTTCTGCAAACCTCCATCCCTTCCACGCAGTTTCGTTTTAACCCCGCTTGGGAGGGCATACCTCTGGTTCTCTCAGGACCCCTGGGGGAAATGTCGCTCAGCAGTCCGGCGTGAGGACTTGTTTGGATATCAAACATCAAGCAGCAACCTCTGCACGGTTAATCTAAACATCTAGGCTTCCTGTCGCCTGCTCAGAATAGTTAGAAAGGAGGAGTATAAATTCATTGCCTAATTTTATGTTGTCATGTGATGCATCTCGCTGTAAAAATTAGGAAAAAGTCTCAACTTCATGTTAACATGCTAACCTGTTGTTTTATAAATCTCCTCCAAACATTTCTGTGTGCCATTTCTACACCAGAAGAAGGTAGTCATGGCAGGATTTCCCAGGCTGATTAATTTTTTCTATTCATCAACCAGAAATAGATTTCCTCAGCTGATTTTATTGGCGCCTCATGTGCTGCTGATTGTTTGCGAAGCTGGAGCACAAACAGAAATATCCTGTGAACTGTGTAACAGAAGCTGATGTCTTCTCCTAACCCACAGGATTAACGCTTTTCTGCTCACACAATGGTACCATTGGTGCTTTAATCAAAGCTTAATGTAGGAAAAAAATCAGACGAAATATTCCTACACTGTCCCATAATTCCAGAGAGCAGCTGGAGCATGGAATCCAGCTGAAGTGTTCGAAAACATTCAGGAAGGAAAGCGATGTTATCCCTGCTGGGCGGGGCTGCCTCGGCTTCCTCCGGGCCTGCGTGCTCCCTAGATAGCCAGTCAGGAAACATCAGGCAGGATGAGACGCATCCCGACTCCCGCAATATCTGCCTGTAATGTTTGTGCTTCCTCTCAAACTTTTTTTTTTTTTTAGTTCTTGCTAGCACATTTAAATGCAAAAAGGAAGAAAGGCTGCGCATCTGGGAGATTCCAGATTGAGCTGAATTTCTTGGTTTGCATTTTTAGGTTCAGAAATCCTCAAAGAAACAAAACTAAAAGCTATTACAGTAGTAGCCTAAAAAAAGTTTGGGAACTTTATGAAGTTGCTGGGTTTTTGCTTTCACTATTGGCTTATTGGCTTCCTCTGTACTTGTTTCTAAATCAGAGGAAAAGTTGTGAAAATGTAAAATTTATACTTCTGTCATAGTTTTTTTTTTTATATATATAAATATACTTGTCAACATCCATATTAGAGGCTTCCAAAAACTTTTCGTAATACAATTTCCACAGTTTATTTTAATAAGAGCAAGGAACATGCCAAAAACAGAAGTCTTCTCCAGCTTTATGCATTGCTCCCCTCCCCCACCCGTTGCTAAGCGGCCTCTCATACAGCCACTAATTTGTGTAGTTTTGTTCAGCTGATAAAGAAAACCATCAATTTCAAATAATAATAATGACTTTCTGCTGCTTTTGCTCTTTTTTCAGTAGTGACAAAAGGCTTCCCACTCAATTAGAACTAATACTAGCAAAGCATTACAGATATATTTGTGGTCGGCCTTCATATCGACCTTATCAAGTTGTGTTCTAACGGGCTTTGAGTCTTGTAAAGCACATCTTTCCATTTTGGATCCTGTATTGAACCTTTTCTTCCCCCAAGCTGCATTTATAAATAAAGCTATGATGTGAGTGAATTTATATTATTCATTATGTAGTGCAGTTGTCCTTGCAGAGCAAGAACCTTGGGTCATATTTTCAGATCAAAAGATTGTCATTAAAAATGCATACATATTGTCAATAAATCTCAAACCGGGCTGTTGAAGGACGGACTTGAAATGGAGAATAACAAGCAGCTCTCCAGACAGAATGAGATGTTAAGAATAACGAAGCGTAAAATCTCTAAAACAATTTAATGGGCATCGTCGTCTCTCTCCTAGGTGCCGATGATTCTTGTAGGGAACAAGTGCGACTTGGAAGACGAACGCGTTGTGGGGAAGGAACAGGGCCAGAACCTGGCCAGACAGTGGAACAACTGTGCCTTTTTAGAGTCCTCTGCTAAGTCAAAGATCAACGTCCTTGATGTGAGTACACACAAACAAAGAACAGAGCACTGCAAACATTTCCTAGTGGCACATATTTTCCAAAATGTTGTAGTTGTTGCTTAAGGATTTGTAAAAAATATTGTCAATGCTTGCAGATTTTATCGCTGTAGCTGTTCTCTAGAAATAAACCAATTTCAATTTGAAAGGTCCCTGTTTGACTTCAGACTAAGTTCTATGTTTACTCATACATGCACTCAAACGTTTGTGATGTAAATTAATCTTGGCTAAAAAAAGTCTTTGGTGTATTCTCTATTTTTGTTATGAGAAACTATTACAATTGTACCTCAATAAATCAGAATATCAACAATTTACCTTTTTGTTTTAGTTAGGTTACTTTATTTATACCAAAATCTGTTAGTGATTAAATTAAAAAAGTGACATTCATCATATTACAGCTTGTATACTTCAAGCGATTAGAAAGCAAGGTCATGCCATGGCCCATGTGGTCAGACTGCTGACTTGTCAGTTGTTGAGCAGACAGTTATTGGCTCCCCCCACAAAGAGGGGAAGCTACAAAAGGTCATTAATAAAGCAGCTGGCAGTTGGGTTAAAAATACTGGTAGAAAGTTGAGTGGAAGGAAAAGTGTACTAAAAAAAAAAAAAAAAGTGGTGACAACCTTGCATGGTTTGAAGCTGATTCACAAAGCGTGGACTTTATAGTGATGCACCTGTAAGGGTTGTCTTTGTTGGATTTAGGGATATCAGTCATTGTTCTAAATATTAAAACACAGATCAAGACCTTGCAATCAAATATTTGCTTTGCTTGTCTCATTTTACAATAAACGGTCATCTAAAGAAAGCGTACCTTGACTTCAGCAGTTAAAGAGCTGTTTGTGAAGGAATCGGTTTGGACAGCTGCTGTGTGGGCTGACGGCTAGTTGTGGACTTTCTGTTCTGTTCAGACAACAGTGTGGCAGCATTGGCACAACAATTCCTTTATTGCTGTGGTTGTGTTGAGATCTGTAGAATATGCACATTGTATAGGTTTTTCTGTCCAACATCAGAAAGATGCTGAAGGTTTTATTTTGTCGTAACAAGCACCCATGATTTTAAAATTTGACTCAATGTTTCTGATCTTAACAAAGCTTCAATGATTATTTCATTTCATGTTTTAATAATGAAGCTTCATGTCATGCCTTAAATATGCAGCGGTTTCCCAGGGCTGCTCTGACTGATGGAGATGTTTACCGGTGGAACCAAGCTTATTTTTATTTGTATTTTTTATATTTTTGTTTAGATCTTCTATGACCTGGTCAGACAGATAAATAGGAAAACACCAGTGGAAAAGAGGAAGGCAAAAAAGAAATCCAACTGTGTCCTGCTTTAAAGCCCCCCTCGGCCCCTGCAGCAGCTCTGAGCCAGGTGAGTGTGTGTGTGTGTGTGTGTGTGTGTGTGTACACACAATCAGAAGATGCCTTTTTTTCACTTAAAATCTCAACGATGTTGTGATTCATAGTGAAATATGTGAGGTTAAATATAGTTCCATGGTTCAGATCATCCTCTGCTATCACATGATGAAGCTGATTTCATCGGTTCTAGTTAATCATTTGTCATTCTGTCTTTGAGGTTTCTGTGCTGCAACTAACTCAATTTAAATTTATTTGAATTGCACAGATGAGTTGTGTAAACGGCAACCGCTCCTTCTCAATGTTTGGTCACAAATTTAATAGAGATCATAGAGGGATCGCCTCCTGTTGGTAGCAGAGAGTACAACAAAGGCTTAATGTGGCAAATGTATATGATTTTCTAAAAAACAAAATCAACAGATGCAAATGAACAGATGAGTTGTCAACAGCACCTGTTCTTTGACTCCTTGGTGATTTATTTGTTTTTCGAGCAGCCTTCTCATAGTTATGAACTTGTTTTGTGATAAAATGTGGTTTAATAATAGTTGTCCTCTGAACAGAACAGTTTTTTTCTGACAAAACGGCTAAACTTCAGTGATTAATTCTCTGACGCGTTTGCCTTTAAACGTTTGCATTTCTCACGCTGCAGTTTCTCAGTAAATATTTTCAAGCCTTGGGTCATTCCTTTTGAAATGTGTAAAAAGACAAAACGCTTTCATTAGCATTTGCTTTTCTGTTGAAACATTGAGTCAGAGTAAGTTTGCTTATTTTAAAATGCAAACCTCAGCAGACTGCAGCAGCCGGTCATGTTAAAGGAAATCCTGATCAGTCATCTTGTCATTTCCCAGAAAATATGAACCATATTGACTAGCAGATTTTTCTTTTTCTGTCTGGCCGGATGTGGTTAAATGTGGAAGTAAAAAAATAAGCAGCATGAATTAATCAGTCTGCTTACTTTCGTTTATCGCTTTTGTTGTTTTTATAATGAAACTTTCGTTCCACATACAAAAAACGGAAGTTGTTCTGCATATTTTAAGGCCTCTACATCTGTAAGTGATATGAAACATTTTTATTAAAGTATACTTGCATAAAAAGGATTTTCTTCTGTATTTGATAACTTGTAAATAAAGGTCTTCAATCAGTAAATGCTCAATCTTTGCAGTACTAATAATGCCAATGAAATATCTGCTTGCTTTGCCTTTTAAAATCCAGAAACGGTGACTAGTTTAGACCTAAATTGGGATCAACACATCATAAAATCTAACCTACTTATTTTGTCTTGGATATTTTTATCATGATTTAAATGCGTGCTTTGTAATTTTTAAGAAATGGTTTAGATTTTTTTAGTTCTAGGTTGTGTGGGAAAACATAAAAAAGAATATGTTTTCCATGTTTACTTTTAAATTTAACCAACAAGTTCTCAATAAAAGTCATTAGTTGCTATTTTGTAAGTCGCAGTAGGAATGTTTCCACTCCAGTGTAGAAGGTTTTCTTCAGCCAGAGCTGTTGGCTTTAATCTTTTGAAGGAATCTTGTGTGGTTTGATGTGGACCAGCCTCATTTGGATGTAACAGAGTTGGGGCCTCAGTGGTTGAAAATACTGGTGGCAGTGAAGCATGATGGGTTCAACATTTTTAGAACAAATTAGGTTGAATGTTGTTTCATTTAAATCTTTGTTCATGGCTCAAACATTTCTTTTTTAAATTGTAGTCTTTAGCCAATAGCATCACAGTGTCAGATTTAAGGAACACAAATGGAGGCGTTAACGTGAACGAACATGCCTTTTTAGGTGATATTTGAATGAGTTAGTTAGGCTTAGGTTGTGAAGTTGAAAGTAACATTTTTTTTGTTTTGATGCTTCTTAACTTATGTTTGTAGTTTATACTGAGACCCTTTGAGATTTCTGCTCTCTTGGCACCAAAGTGTTCACTTTAATGAGGGTAACAAGTTTAGGGAGTAAAACCGCTTTTAAACTGCATCTTAACTTGTCACAGGTATTTGTCGGAAAAAAAGCTTTTGTACCCGTCTAAATGGCATGGGAAGGTTTTTGGTTTAAACTCATCTTACTAAGATGCCGGAGAAAGTTCTGGAGTGTCTAGAGTTTTCTCTGTTTTTAAGCTAAACATACCTGTGCTGCCCACCCCAAACCCCATCTCCTTTACCTGTTATGGTGGACTACCACTTAAACATTATTAAATTACAGCTGCATATCTATCAAAATGACACCAGACAGATATACAATATCATTAGAGTAGGAGAAAATGACAAATCTGGTTTTAATAGAGCAGAAATATCCAGTTCCAACTTTCTCCTTATGTACTATATTTACAGAGTGACACATTTTTTGTGGAATTATTTACTAACATCATGCTAAATGTTTATTCAACAAAATATTTAGCCAAAAATCTCGCTAATTCTAAAACACATAAGAAAATCTCTGTGAATCACACAATAAACCGCTGTAACTTGTTTGTGCATTGTATCTGTGATTAAAGCTGTGGTTCAGATAAAAGCAATGTCAAATTTAAGAAGTAAGAATTAAAAATAATGGTAAGGAATTTGATTTGATTGTTCAATCAATCAGTCAAATTTTATTTGTATAGCACATTTCAGCAGCAAGGCATTTCAAAGTTCTTTACATAATTAAAATAAAAACAGAAAGATTTAAAAAACATCAAAAACATTGGAAAGAGATTAAAAATACATTAAAACGTAAACAGTGAGAAAGGCAAATAAAAAGCTTTGGATGTTGTGAAAACATTCAAATAGAAGCTGTGAAAAAGTGTTGTTTAGTTTCAGTGTGATGGCTTTTTTGTTAGATATTACAGGTTTTGTTTTGTGCTTCCAAGAACACAGGACTTTTTTCACTGTTCTGCATGTGAACCCCCTTGGGGAGTTTTATAATCTGTTTACACAGTTAGCTCAGTGTTGTCAGAGGAAAACCTCAATGTTGGCAGACCAACAGACCTCAGCCGACTGGTTTTACATCTGCTTTCTCCGGCTACCGTTAACTTTCAGAATGTGGGAGTAAATCTTTAGCATCTCTGTTTAAAACTGGATGTTTTTTTTTAAACGGACAGCCATCGTTGTAGTCACCCCAGACATCGGGGACCCCAGACATCGGGGACACGGCACCACCCACCGAGTTCCTCGTCTGCATCCATCTGTTTTGGTCAGTTGGAAGTCCACAGTGTTTGAGAATGGTGCCTCAGTCGGTTTCCCCCCAAGGCGATGTCTGCACCCCCATCCGGCGCGGTTCGCATGCTGGCCAGCCCAGTGAACCAGCACTAATGGGATTTTAGGTTCGCCGTTCCACTCTTCACAATGCAGTGCGATCGATAGAGAGGTTACATTGGCAGCCGCAGAAAAAAAAGCAGAGTTAATGAAACTTTTCACTTTTGTGGCCCTGCTGACTTTATTTGCTCTGAACCGCGAGTCGCATTCACTGAGAAACTCTGTGGTAAATTGATTTACTTCTTTCAGTGGTGCTAGTTGGACTTTTGCTTCGCTAAAACTGCATATCTTGCAAATCTGGACATACCCTTAATCTTTCTGAGAGGAAACAATTTTTCTGTAGGCTAATTTTAATATCTAAGAGTTATTTGCCAATTTTTTTTTTTTTTTTAAACACTGGTGCCTGTTTGGTGGTTTTGAGTAAAAAAAGCTGAAAAGGCTTGAGTTAAAGCTTGCATTTACTATCACCGAGATGTTTTAAATAAACTACCCCACCAGAGACACACTTCAAAGGATGTAGATAATTTTGAGACTATTTTTTTATATTGTAAGAAAATGAATGCCAGAACAGGAGTATCTCCCGATAAAAGTTCTAGTCCAGCATCTAAATATCAACTGGTTTCACCTTTAGATTTAAACCTCAGCAGCTGGTCAAAAGTTTAAAAACAGAATAAAAATTGTTTCTTCTTGCTTCTTATTGCATTACAAAGTAGTGCATCTGCAGTTAGTCATCTGAAGAAATGAAGCACTTCTGGTCATAAACAACCAATCAGAACCTGGAGGAAGGTCTTAGTGCTGTCAATCAACCTTGTATATGTGCTGCTAAATATGCTAATGGCAGAGAAGCAACTTATTGTTGCAGGAAAACTGCTTTTGTCGATATTGGTGGCTATGCTAGCTAGCCTGAGCACTTATAACAGGCTCTGGTGAGGAACTAGCTGTAGCAGAGAGAAAGGGGAGGGTATGAGCAGCGTATACACAAGTGTGACTAACTGTGTTAAGACCCTCCTCCTGCCTCTGATTGATTGTTTGTGACCGAGGTATATTTCTGACTGATTTCTTTATCGTAGCAACTTTTTGGGTTTAGAAAATATTTTTTTCTGAAAAATGGTGCTAAAATTCAGACTTGAACATTGAAATTGAAGAGAAAATTCTCATCTTGTATCAAAATGTACATAATGTCCAACACTCTTATTAAATAGATGATTGTGCTTGTAGATGTAATGTCATTTAAAAGCCATCAGAGGGCACCAGCAGGTTGGAGTTTTTGTTGTCATTCATGACTGATGCTGTCTTGCAGAAATGCTGTAATGAAGAACTGTTGCCCTGATTGGAACGTGCCAGCATTCCAACAGCCCCGCCCCAGTCCCCCTCCCTCCATCAGCCATAAACGGTGAATCAGTTGACTGAACTGCTCCCATCAAAGCCAAGGATGACCTACAACAGAGTAAAGAAAAAGACAGAGAGGGGGAGAGAAGAAAGAAGACCCTTGTCTCTCGACTGTGAGGACGTCCCTTTGTGTCTTGGTGTGAACCCTGAACGGACAGCCTCCACTTCTGCATCAAACAGCGCCACAAACTGATGATGTAAAAACGCAGCAGAACCTCTGAAAGTTAATGGAAAAAAAAAAAAAAAAAAACAGCAAAGTTGTCCATGAGCCCCTTATTTTCATTTCTGACAATGACGGTTGTTGAGAAGGAAGTCAAAGTTAGTACTTGGATTCAGTATTTTTCATCTTATTTTCAATATCAATATTGTATTTGAAAGACATGGAAGATGATCTCTTTAGTTGTATGATTATAAATATTCTTCAGAAACAAGCATGAAAAAAAGATGCATCAGTTATTACGTGTAGATGTTCAAGTGAAATCAAGTGGAAAAGTGAGAATTTTTTTATAGCCATACACCTATTCTCCATGCCTGTCATGTTGGTGATACTAGATCAAGGTCCATAATATGTATTATTATTTTTTAATATTATACCTTTTTTTTTTCTTTGTTCGCCCTGTTGTTCATGGACTTCTCTTCTGCAAATATCTCTCTCTGATGTGACTTAATTTTATACTCGGTCACTGGGATTTCATAGCTCCCATAATATATTCTGATGCCATTTTTTTTGCATAATAATGCGCCAGAAAAATGGGTCTTTTATAGAAGAAATATGGGGAAAAATAAGAATTGATTTCTATGTCTCTTGAAGCTGAAATATATTATACTAAACCAACTCTAATGCTTCTGTGTTTTTTTGTCGACAATGTTCCAGCTTTTATGGATGATTAAAATACATTTTAGTACATTTTCATTATACTGGTCAATGTATTTTTGTGAATTAAACTTTTATTCCAAGACTATTTGATTTATTTAAGAGAAATGGGATTTAGTGTGTCTGAAGTTGGCCAGAAGAGATGGGTGGAATATGAGGGTTCTTTGTAGGTTTTAGTAAATTATTGTATTGATTAAACACAGGAAAGTGAAATTAAGTAATTGGCAGAATAAAAACCCTGTATTTAATTTATCAAAGTGGCCGCTAGGTGTCAGTATCTCAACATAAATGTGCTTTTATATCGGGGCATCGAAAACAGATTTAAATGTCTTTATAAGAAAATGAAGGAAATTAAGCCTGCAATACAGGAATCAGTGGACTAATTCAAAATAATGCAAAATCTGCAAGTTTAATCGACGGTTGCCTCAATAAGTATAAATGAGATGTTTGACATGAAGGGGATTTTCTTCTTTTTAGAGAATAAAATCTCATCAAACCTCAACTTGTAAGTATTACTGAGGTGAAAAGCATCTTAAACATGGCAAACCTGCAGTTTGTGGTTTCTTTAAGTCTATTTTTTTACTCTAATGTTAGCATATAAAGTCTCCAAGTATTTCTAACCATATAGATTATTTTTGATTTCTTTTGTCTCAGGCATTGGAACAGGAAATGTTCAACCTTTAGCTGCAGTTAGAGCTGCAGGTATTTTTGGGTTATAGGTTTAGTGGCTTTGCTCATCTGGAGGGGGGAAGTTTTTCCCATTTTTTGTGAAATAGCTCAAGTTCAGTCAAATTGGATGGAGAGCATCTACGCACATTAATTTGGACTTTGACTAATTCATGAATATTATTTGATGATGTACATTTTACTATAGCTCTGGCTGTGTGTTTGAACTTGTCCTAATAGAAGATGATTCCCACAGCATGATTCTGCCATCACCATGGTTCATACTTTTATTGGTGTGCACGGTCAGTTTTCAACCTCACATGTAGTTGTTTTCCATATAAGCAACAAAAATATGTGTTGTCACTGCAGCTCTCATGGTCTTTTGGAGCCTCTTGACTGATTGTTTTTCTTGCCTGGTTGGAGTCTGAACACTACATGCAGGCCAATGTCTTGGCTTGCATTTGTGCATGACATTTTCCATTTCCAAATGATGAATTTTGGGTGATATTTAAAACGTAGTTTATCTCACTACAATTTATGTAAGGATATCTGAGGAAAGGGGACTGAATGGAAATGAATGCCAGACTTCAGAATTATATTTGTAAAAAAAAAAAAGAAAACCATGAATCGCTTTTCCATCTTTAACATTTTAAATTACTTTTTGCTAGAGTAGTATATAAAATATGTAGGATACATATAAAGTTAGTGCACTCACTGTCGACTGAAGTTATTTTGTACTTTCTTAGTCATATTGGCCACTTCAGTACTTTCACTCCCATTCAGCCAGCCAAAAGGAATTGGTTAAAACATGATTATCAGAAGGGTTCATGGGTATATTTTATTTCAAGAATCTTAGCCATTCAACATTTGATTATCTGTGATTTTTTTCCCCTTTAAAATAGTTTTGCCACATAGTAGCATGTTGGTGTTGTAGCATTTGTTCTTGCAATCCTTCAATGTGTTTGGAACTTTGTTTTTTTTTTCCATTTTTTACATCTTAAAATTTCTTAGGGATGCTTTTGCTTCTCAAATGTTCATGCTAATGAGAGGCTCAGGGAGTTCTGCTCCAAATCTGTCAGCATCAAAGGTAAAAGGAGCATCAATTTATGAAGAGTCAATAACTTTTCTCAGTCTTAATTAGGAATTGATATGAAATATGGCGCATAAATCATTGTGTCCTTTTTATTTATATTTGATACAAGCTCCTGGCTTGGACCCTTACTTTGATCCTGCCACATAAATATCTTATAAACAAAGAAATGCACAAAAAAGCAGCCTGCAGGCCAGAGGCACAGGCACTTAGGAACGGGAAGAAAGTGCTGCATCATTTAAGCTCCTTATTTCTTTGAGGGGGACATGTGTGTAAAAGCAAAGAAGGAGGCTTAAACTCCACGGGTGAGGATGGAGGGGAAGAGATTAGAGAGTGTGACTCATATTTTTCTTCTTGTTTTTGACTCTTATCACATACACTGCAGCCTTGATCAGTCCCGTAATCCCTTTAGTGGATGAGAAGCAGAGTAATACAAAAATCACCTCTGCTTTCATTTACCTCCTGGTGACAAAAAAAAAAAAAAAAAAAAAAAAAAAATCCCTGCTGTCATCCTCCTGAGGTTTCTTCAGCTTCTCCAGGTCCCCTTGGAAACGTAGGACGGCTGTTTGTACCTGCTGGATTTGGATCAAAGTGTTTTCTTTGGGATTTGTGAAGTGTGACCATTTTCTCTATGTACTGTGCAGAGCCACACATCTTTGCAGCTACAGCTTTAAAGTGGTCTTGATCGAGGGTTTTCTCTTTTCTTGTCAGGCCTGGCATTTGACATGACCGCAGGCTGTATAGTTTGTTTATTAGGATCCCCATTAACCATTGCCGTGACACTGGCTACTCTTACTGGAGTCCACATTATACAAAAAAAAAAAATCATTTAATACAAAAACAGACTTAATGTATCATTAGTAATGTAACATATTAACTAATTTATAAATGTACCCTGCGACAGACTGGCGACCTGTCCAGGATGTACCCCACCTCTCGCCCGGAACGTTAGCTGGAGATAGGCACCAGCACCCCTCCCGACCCCACTGAGGGACAAGGGTGTTCAGAAAATGGATGGATGGATGGATGGATAAATGTACAACAGTTTATATGATAAATTAATCAAAGGACTCTTAAAATCATTCGTTCCATTATTTTTGTGCCTCTAAAATTAACAGACTTTTGTCCAGCATTGCTGTTGCATGGTGGAAGTGTAAAAGAACCTTTTGCAGCAAACCTTGTGTTAAAATTGTTTAAAGTGTGATAAAGGTTGATTATAAAAAATATTTGGGAGTTTAGATACCACGGTGTTGCTAACTATGCTCTGAGCACAGAGCATCTTGAACAATTGTGTAGTGTAGTATTTGGTTAAAAATAAAATATTTTTTCTGAATTTGGTATCAAATAACTTGAATTAAAACTGAAAGGAAGCAAGGTAGTTGTTGGTGATTAGGAGTGAGACATTGCTCCATTGTGCCTTGCAAAATTACAATTACAATTAATTACCACTGTTAATTGCTTTACCATTTTCTTGCAATCACAAACTTCACACTTTTGTTTTCTTCCCCTTCTACTTTGACATCTCTTATTAAAATCCAGTGCAGCCAATAACCTGCAATAGTAAAAAATGTAAACAGAAATCCACCTATGTGTTAATCTAAGTAGAAGCTTCAGTAACCATGGTAGCTCTGGAGGAACTGCTGATATTCACAGCTCAGGTGGCAAAATCTGCTAGACTGGCAAAAAAAAAAAAAAAAACAACAACTAAAAACTACAGCTGAAAGAAAAATAATAAGAAATTCTATTTAATGTTTGGCATAGAAAAAGAAAAGGTGTTCTGTTTAGATGAGATCATGAGAAAAGCTGCAAGTGGAGAAAAACTGATGAGTCCACAGTGGACGTGCCGACTGAACAGTGATAAATGACTCTGGCTGCAGGGATACTTTTCTTTAGTGGGTATTTGCAAGCTCATAAGAGTTGATAGGAAGATGGATGGAGCTAAATAGAGGAGGATAAACCTGTTTGACTAGAAAATTTATGTTTGCCGGTGCTCAGCAATAAACTTGACAGAGCCTGAATAATTTTACAGAAGAAGAACAGGTGAACATTTCAGACTGTAGATGTGCAAAGCTCACAGAGACAGACTTGCTAAGTACGGCTGACAACTAATGCTTGCCACACTTATGTCATTTTCATTTCGTTTTACAATTTAGCATTCCTTTGTGTTGGTCTATCATATGAAATTTAAACATAATATGTAAAACTTTCTGGTTTTAATGTGACAAAATAAACATTTCACACATCTTAAAGCTACACAAAAAGATAAATAAGTCAATGAGTCAAACCTCTAAGTGGTTTTAGACAGCATCTTACAGGACTGCAAACAACAGCGAGCACTCGCTCACTGCCGCTTTGCAAACACATTATAAGAGATTAAATATTTCTTCAGGACTGTCATTCCGTTATGCACGCCATAACTCCTGAACATACACGCTTTACTTTTCCCTTTGCCAGATCAATTAACAGACTGGTGTTGTGGGGGGAAATGATTGACTGGGATAAGGTCTGTGTCTAATGGATTTTGTGGAGAGGGAGTGAACATGATCTCCATTGTCGGGGGAATATTGACAGGTTGGAGTGCAAAGTTACGGCTTCCCTCTGAGGAATCATCCTGCGCCATTTCCTGCCTGTAATTTATTTATTTTCATGACGTGCTCTGATGCTGTATTGATTTTCACTTATTTAATTATTTTACAACATTTCAAAAAACAGACACTTTTGGAGCTGGACTTGGACTCAGAAGCTGGAGCTGGACTTGGTATTGTGTGGTTGCATTGTTATAATATTACCTTTATGTACATCGTGTCTTCTTTGTTTTGTTCCCTCATCAACTGGATACTTTTCTCTGTAGCTTTACTTTAAATTTGCATAGCAGCAGGAAGCTATTTTTCAAACCAAACTCCATCTGGATTTCTACAGGAAGCCAAGCTGCCCAGTCTCTTTCTTTATTTACACACAGGGACACGCAGTTTTTCTATTTATATGTCCCTTTTGTTTGGCCACAAGTGTGCTTCTAAGTTTAGTTCAGAGACCGTCATTTGAGGCAGTATAAAGACACCCTGTGGTGTTCTCACTGTCTGCATGGAGCTTTGTTTATGCAGGTGCATCTCTGTTTGGGCCAACGCTGCTGACTGACAGTGGGAATGAATTACACACAAACAGCGGAGAGTTTACAGAACTTCTTTGAAAATGCTTTAATCACGAAAATGCAAAAAAAAAATATAGATTTGAAACAAACACATAATATTTAGGATATTTCATTTCCCACAAATATCCATATT